GGCTTTTGCAAGCATCTATAACATAAATTGCTTCAACATAGTCATGAAAAACTCATGCAAACGTCCGGGATGCCGTTTTGCTGTTACAACTGGCATGCAGTGCGACAACTGCTAAGGCTGGTTCCACGAAGCATGCACAGATCTAACAGCAACTGCTTACAACAGACTCAGCAAGTCAGACCGAAAGTGGGTATGTGTCACGTGCAGCACGGATGCTGTAGTCTTGCTGAGCAACATCATTGTCCTACTGACAGGTCTTCGGAACAAGTTGTCAGTTAACTTGGATAACGATAGTAAAAAACCGGTAGACAAACAAGAGCGTGCGACGGATACAAAAATAGGGATGTCGACAGGTGTACCATCGATGGAGCATCCATCAACACTAATGATGTCGTGTCGAGGCTCAGCACCATCATTACGTCGACGGTATCAGACTCCCGAAGCAAACTCGGGTCCCCCAGCTCAGGGTCTCTGAACACAACAGTGGTTCCCAGAAACCCTGTAGGTGATTCGACCCATGTTAAGAGAGCCCAAAAGAACCAGGCATCACCGCCTAAGCCGAGCAACCCAAATGTTGCTGTACGGAAAATAATTGGTGATTTGGTCGCACAGTCTACTCCCAAGACTGCTCGTCCGGTCAATAAAGAGCCCAAGACTCAAAAACGCGCACTGACCTCCAAACAACAAGTTATTAAACCTGAACCCATCGTGAAACCTGGTAAATTAACAACAGTTCGTGACGATTCTCTCATTATCATGAACCTCGTTGACAATCCTGACCTTCATCTCAGTCTGCAGGACAAAAACGACAGGATGCTCTGGAGTGAATTGAACAAGAAGCTCGAACGTCCTAGAATAGAGCCTTTGACGGTCACCCGGCTCACTCGAGGAAAGGAATCTAGGCATCTAAATCACCCGAGGATTCTCCGAGTAACACTTAAGAATGCTACCGACGTAGAGGACGTCTTGCTAGCAAGTCACTTGCTGAAATCCGATGGTAACGTAAGAATATTGCCCGACATACCGTACTCTGAGCGCAATATCATACGGAACACTCCTAAAGAATCTCGCGAGAAGTTTTTCCGCGGAAGAAACAATTGTGCAAGGTATGCCGGAATATACGGACGCTACTCAATCAAAGACTGACATCAGGAAATGGAAATTCATCAAACAGTCCATGAGGCCCAAAAACATACTGACTGAGCATGTGACGAGACTAGCCAAGAAGGTGATTCTAGACCCCGTCTAATGAAGATAACCTTCCCATTTTCCCATATGGTGGCTGCAACTCTGGAAGCATTTCGTACCAACAGACGTCGACTGCCACCTGGAATCCACATGCACTCGGATAGGCCATACGAAGCTAGGACCAAACACAAAGGCAAGTTGGAACAGACCATTCCACTTGTGGACTGTCTAAACGATAAAAAAAACGTGTAAAGGACAGGGCCTACCACCTCGGAAAGCCTCGTATAGGTGGGCTACCTGTCCATTCACATAAGGCTCATACAGAAAAAGAGGACGAAGCTCACGCGTTCCAAATTGAAACATAAACTGCTTATATATGAACGCAGCGAGTCTACCAAACAAACTAGATGAAGTACGTGAACGTAGCAACGCTAACAAGGCCCATCTGATAGGAATATCTGAAACCTGGATGTCTTCTCAGTTCCCGGACCAAGAGTTGGCATTACCTGGGATGACTTTGTTCCGAAACGACAGAAGAACAGGAATTGAGGGCGGAGTAGCCATATACATAAGCTCTTGCTTGGAGGTGCACCAAGTTCACAACCTCGAGTTTAAAAATCTTGAGGAATCCATATGGTGCTCTGTAAGATTGTCTAGTACTTCGAGGTGTCTAGTCGGAGCCATTTACAGGAAGCCAATTGCCGACATCGAGTACGATAGTCGTATGCTGGAAGGACTATCTCGCTCTACCTGTCTCGGTTTCACACACATCCTGATTCAAGGGGACTTTAACCTCCCTAGAGTCAACTTCGCGGAACATACGTACACTGGAGGCGACAACTTAATTGAAGCTCGGTTCTTCAACCTCATCGATGACTTGGGCTTATATGAAAATGTGAGGTCGGCAACTCGTTGGAGAAACAGTCAGACACCATCGCGCTTAGACTGTGTATTCACTAACGAAGAATTCCTAGTCGACAACCTCTCAATCCTGGCTCCTCTGGGAAAAAGCGATCATGCCGTCATAGCCTTCAGTTTTGTCATCAAAACTAAGCTAAGGTATCCCAACAATAATTTGCGTTGGAATTTTAAACGGCTGAATGTGCCAGCTCTACATGACTATCTACAACAGGTGGTTTGGGATGTTCACCCTCAACTCGATGTGGACGGTCATTGGGACTTCTTACTGCATACGCTACTATGTGCTACAAACCATTCAGTTCCTCTAACGGTTCCCAAAAGCTGCAAGCCACCTACAGTAATCAAGAACCGTACCCTTCGCCTGCTAAGCCGAAAAAGGCACTGTTGGGCGGAATACAAACGAACTGATAACGACGGAGCGTATAGGCAATATAAACATATCAGGAACATATGCACGAAGGCTATAAGAGAAGACAGGCTTCAGTACCAGACAAAGCTTATGGACAAATTTGCCTCTAACCCTAGAAGCCTATTCCGCTATGCAGCCTCTCTTCGTCAAGCCAAAACAGGAGTTTCTCAACTGGTAGGTCTTAACGGCCCGACCAACAACGATGGCGACGCCGCTGACCTTCTGGCGGCACATTACTCTCAAACATTTCAACCGGCAGACATCAACTTTACTGATGACAGTTTCATCTGCAATTCCACAGGACTTTCCGAAGTAGACCTAAGCGCTGACTTGGTGTTCCGGAAATTGCAGCACTTAAAACTAGATACTTCTCCTGGCCCGGATATGGTTCATCCTGCCATACTGAGGGAGGCAGCCTCAATCCTGGCAATGCCGCTTAGCGTGATGCTTTCACAGTCGCTAAGCCGAGGCAAATCACCGGAAAATTGGAAGTTGGCTCACATCACACCAATTTTCAAAGGAGGTCGACGCAATGAACCTTCAAGTTATCGGCCGGTGGCTCTTCTGTCATTACCTTCAAAACTCATGGAGTCCCTGATATGCGACGGTTTAAACGACTACCTACTGTCCTTAAATTTCTTCTTACCCCAACAGCATGGTTTCAGGAAGGGTTACTCTTGTATAACCAACCTGCTGACTGCGGTGGACAGATGGACAAGCATCCTCGATCGTAAGGGAAAGGTTGATATCATTTGCCTTGACTTCTCAAAAGCTTTTGATAAGGTTAACCACTTGTGTCTTATCAATAAGCTCAAACGACTAGGTATCAAACCACCTCTAATCGATTGGCTTACTTCATACCCAAAAAATCGACACTTTAAGCTTAGGGTCAAATTCACTTTATCTCAGGCTATGGAATGTCCTAGTGGGGTTCCCCAGGGCTCAGTACTAGGGCCTCTTCTCTTCTTGATCTACATAAATGATCTTCCTCAACAGGTAACGTCAGACTTATTACTTTTTGCCGACGACGTGAAACTTTGGAGAGAGATACGCAACCAAGACGATATACAGGCACTTCAGGAGGATCTGACTCGACTTCAAAGTTGGGCAGACGATAACGGACTTACCTTTAACACTTCAAAGTGTAAAGTAGTACATCTGCGACATGTCGCAAACTACAGTTACAACTTAGGAAACTCCTCTCTAGTAGTATCCCAAGTCGAAAAAGATTTAGGAGTCCTGGTGCCCCATGATTTAAAGTCTTATGCTAACTGTGACAAAAATGCCTTCCGAGCAAACCTTGCACTGGTAACGTTGAAGCGCATTTTTGGACAGTTTGACGGACGAACTTTCCATACAATCTTCAATAGTTTCAGCCGTCCCCATTTAGAGTACGGAAACATAGTACTCCCTCCCTCACTCCAAAAGGACAAGGTCACTTTGGAGCGTATCCAACGGCGAGCCACGAAATCAGTTCGAGGACTCAAATCTAAACCTTACGAAGAACGCCTCCATTCACTAGGCCTTTACTCATTAGAGTATAGGCGTCTTAGAGGTGATTTATTAATGGCTTATAGTATTCTTAACACTTCTGGACATCCTCTTAAACACCTACTTAAGCTTAGTTCGAATAATAACCTTAGGGGTAACACCCAGAAACTGGAAACACAACATAGCAAGACGGAATGTAGACACAACTTCTACTCCTTAAGAGTTGTCAAAAGCTGGAAATCGCTGCCGGCCGAGCTAGTTCAAGCGACTTTTCAGGAGTCCTTTAAGAGGCAACTTGACCTATTTCTAAGGACCAAGGACAGCATCATACGATGACTTGCCAATTTCTTTTTCCTCTTCTATTGTTAACATACCTAGGTTCCTGCCTGGAGGATTTGATGATCCCCTGCTACTAGACACGGAAGCCTGTTAAGCGAAAGCTTCTTCTATTCCGTCCACAACCATTTGAACCATTTAAGTCGACTGAAATGTCACTTGACAATGAAGCACAACAAACATCAATCATTAATGATAAAAAATTACTCCTTGAAACAAGAGTAACTGAAGGAAGTACTATAAATATTCAAGAGTTACCGGTGACTTGATATTTGGTTGAGGTTTACTACAGCAGTTTCGATCACAGATCAAGTTATGAAGCAACAACAGAGACAACTTGTACATTACAAGACAGAGCATGCTAAATTATTGCCTTTGACGGTTATTTTGTGCTTTTCAACGCAGGTAAGGATGACTTAAATATGAAAAAACCTTATACTCATTCAACCAACAAACCCACGGCAATTGAAATACGGAATGACCGCCTCTAGTCAAGCTGTTCAAGGTCGTTGAAACGAAAGGGCGGGTACATTTCAAAAGGACCAACGTTTAAACCTTCCCTTCTTACCTTGCCGTTTCCCCGTGCCTGTATTGTATGTTCACTTTTACCTACTGTCCCGACGTGCTAGTATGACCTCACTCTATTTTTAGCACAATGGAGGATAGTATGAGTCGTTTGCTTATGCAATCAACTTTAATGGGGACTATCGTTACAACAATTGGTAATCATTTGTTGAAACTACAATCTAATTCACGTTTGCTTGAAAAGTTGCTATGTTTTCTGTTCAAAAATAAGTAAATCGTTTTCTAGTCGTAACTACTTTTCCACTCAAGTAATTTGGAAAGTGCTCAAAATGTATCGGTCACGGAATTGTTAAACCAAGTATGTTTCTTATTTTTACTATGTACTGACAGTTATATGTGATCAGAAGTTCACTGTTGATTCAGTTCAAAGTGCTGGTGAATTGTATGTCTCACAAAAAAGCAGTGACCTAGCAAAATGGCTAGAGTTAACTGTCATCCGTAGTCTTGAACAGTTTGAATCCACAAAACGTGAATCGGTGTGTTACAAGAGGTAAGAGCTTGAATACAATACTTTTTTCAATGGGGTTTTTATATTATAGGACTAGCACTACTGTTCCACTTGTAAGTTCAATTTTTATTATAAATTCCTGGAGGATAAGCAACTGTCTCATATAAGAAGTTTTCTTGAAATCAGCAGGAAAAGAAAACATCTGTTTAATCTTTCTTCTGAGCTTCAAAACTTAAAAGTAAGTGATTACCTTTAGCTCTTACGAACTTTTTTGATTCTAATCGTTTTTCCCATTTTCCAAATTTGTCGTTGAGCACATATTATTCTGGTAGTTACTTTGTTGTTGTACAAACTTCCCGTCAGTACATATTTTCTGACTACTCTGAAGATTCAGTGTGAAATTTTACTGACAACCAAAAAGTCCATTTTCCATTAAACATGCTTCGTGATTTATTGTCCAGAGCACGATTTGAAACAACATGAATGTAGGATCTCTGAATATTGTAAGTTGGCGTCTATTCATCATATTTTCGTCAATTTACACAAACGTATATATAACTATTAATTTAAAAGATGTTAACTCAAGGTATTGGTAGTAAATGTTTGAATACATGTGTTCTACCATATTATATTAAGTGGATCGCGTCACGTCACTTGTTTCTAAGGTTAAAGACTAAGAAATGGTGACAAAGCTGCTCATGTTTTCTTGCTTTGGTTAGTAGATCGTGAGCTGTTTAGTTGCTTATTTGATCGCTAGATAAAGGTGGGTTATATCCTGTCGTGCTTATGATAACACAAGTAAATTATCTGTCTGGCATTAAATTACAATACAAAGAATGCTCTTGTTATCATTGTAATAAGTAGAGAATCAAATATTATAACCGGTGTCATCACAGTTTTAACTGTCCGTTTTTATCTTTTATCTTATCAGCGCATTCAACTACAAAAATGTAATGTGTCAAGAGATTTTTTAAATGCTGAACTTCAATTATTAACGCTACAGACAAAGGTCCACTACATGAAGCACCGTATCGAGAAGTTAAAGTTGGACGTAGAATGTAACAAAACAAACCTTTTTGAATATGAATCACTAGGCACAGAAATAGTGAATATTGAAAGTCTTTTGGTGAGTAGAGTTTAGACATATTTACAACCAACTGCTAGTTTTTGTACTTTTCAGAGTAAATCGACTTTCATTAAATTAAATAAATTTTCTTAAGAATCGCAATAGGGCTGTGAACTACTAAAACTTTGTCTGGTGTTAAAATATATTTGGTTAAACTTACAAAGAAATGGAGAGGTGAACTATTCTTTATTTTCACTCACGTGGTAGATTCCGATTCAAATGTTCAGAAGTGTCTTCTACTATCGACTGGATAACATTAAGAGAGTATGCAGAACAGATATTAGGGTGCAAGCTACCGATGCCAGACACAAGTTGTTTGGGTAGCTAATAATAACCAGTTGGTCATAGGTCAAATAATAAAAACTGTCTTAGTGTTCGTATTTTTTAACCAATCTAAATTTCAGTACGGTCATCACACGTGTTACCTTAACCTAAACCGATATTACCTACATCCTTACGTTTAATAAAAAAGACACACCGCTTACATTAAGAAATCCTTATCACTAATAGGTAGCTATCAATTTTCTGGAGTAAATGCGAGGCCTTCTATGCCTTCAGTTATTAAAGTGTATTGGGGCGCTAATTATCCATTATCAGGACATATAAAATTTCTTCCTATTCTGCCAAGCCGCTTGTCTGTCTTTTCATTTTGCTCACCATCGTTGTTTCCTGTCAGTTTATCCCCTTATGCACATGTACACCTAAAAAAGGATATCTGGACTCTAGAAATCTGAAGATTATTTTCGAAGACAAATGCACTACTCAGAAGTTTGCTCTGTATCGCTCCTCGATTGTAAAAGATTATCTTTAAAAGTAGAAGTGTGGTCGTAAGCAAATGATCATAGTTATTGTTAAGGCATTGCTCGCGTTAGGTAGGACGGCGGATTGAGTTATTTTGAGGTTAGGCATGTAGGTTCGAGTAAGAAAGTTAAGTCAACTGAACGGGCTACTACTCTTCATCAACATAAGACCTGACTTCATAGATTAGGCATATTGACAAATTACTTAATTGTAATAACATAAAAAATGTGTTAATTTTAATAATTATGCAGAAGTTAGTTCTCGCGATGCTCATGTGCTATTTGCGATGCATTGCCATCAGTTGTAGCAATGGTGTAATAATAATAAAACATTAGAGTTGTTATCTACTATAAATGTGAAACATGGGACCTTTTACAAATGAATTTATTAAAACGAAATGGAGATGTTTGTCACATTTTTTACACAAGGTTTAGGAACGTGTTATCCAGTAAGCATATGAACTCAAATCCACGTTCTAATTTCAGATGAACTGACAAAACTCAGTAATCTCAACACAATGAAGTTTATATTCATCAGTTATGAGTAGCAGTAACAGCAATGATATGACCATTTTACACAACATAATTTAAACGACTCATTTAATCCTTGATTTCGATTTCCTCCTTGCTCTATACATTAAGCAATATTTAATCGAACTCGAACTGTTTCGTGGATGTAACACATACTCAACTCTAACTTGTTAACCAACCAGATGGATTTCATTATTTTCGAAAATGACTTGAGCTCTCAAGTAAACATAATTGGCCAAACTTTAGACACTTAGTGGGACTTTTGGCGTCCTACTCAAGCAAACAAATCATCAACCTGTTGCAAACGTTTTCAGATAACCGTTTAGTCCTAGCTAGCACCAATTTTACGCATAGAGACGTAGCTCCTAACACCGTCAGATCGAGATTAGTAACAATACTCTTTTCACTTCTGTCCAATTTGATCACATATTTATTTGGTTTATAATATTTAACATGGGTAAAAATCTTAAAAACGAACTCTAAAATAAAAAGTAATGAGTGAAATTGCTGTAGTCTTTCTCTTATCTTGTAATATTTAAAGAGAAAGAAACGGGAAACGATTCGCCGTTTGCATGAAGAAAATGAAAAGCTGTTAGATAACCTCCCTTTATTATGTCGTGAGGTAGGTGAATTTTATCTTAACTTCAATTGACAAAATGCTCATTTATTCGTTTACGTACTGAAAAATTATTATTATTATTATAAACACCTGCTTGATGATATATGGTAAAAGTTTGATTTGTTTCTTATCAAACCTATTAATCCTGTAGAACTTCTCACTATTAAGCTCAATAATTATCAGGAAATCGTAACACCTCAAGGAAGGCGTCACTTTCATGATACATATATACCTTAAATATATGTGTCTACAAAGCAATACACCTTCGAACTCACAAAAATCCACATAGTTGGTGTGATGCGAAAATAAGTCATCTGACTATATGATGATATATATCCAGCTTTGATACCTTAATGATAACCTACCTTGGCCCAGCTTTGTTCAAAACAACAAATATTTCTCAGATTTTTTGAAGCGGTAAAAGTCGATTGACCCAGGTAAAGTTGTGAAATGGGAATATATCTGTAATGACCTTAAGACTAGATCGAAAGCGAAACACACTATACGGAGGAATTCGGCAGACAAAATGTCAGTGATGCTTAAGTTCCAAAAGTATTTTGAAAAGCTTTAGCTGTGATTATCTACTCACTTAATATGATTATTGTTTTTGACGATTGACTATTCCAATTGCCGCTCTCGTAAAAAATATAATGGGTTTATGGATGATCTATCGCTTGAATTGATGTATAGTGTAGCCAAGTGATAATTCACGCAACTAGGATGCAAAGTCTGTGATTGTAAACTGAGTACAAGAATCTGTGCTTAAATTCGGAGTTCCTTCACGCGGTCAGGTACCATGTTATTGTTCACTTCTACTTAAACGATGTTTGTGTCTAAATAATTTTTTTCCATTCGGTCATATTCTTAACACTTATAAAATCCCTTTAAATTAGACGAAACAAATTAAGCAACAACTATCGTGTCAGATAATTGATACACATAAAGTGGCGCATGAACTAACAAGCAACAATCTACTGCAGGATTTTAATGAAAGGATTCAAGATATTTCATTCGACAGAAGAACATTTACCAGGTAAATCTTTGTAGGGATAATCTATCCAAAGATTCTTAATGCTGATATCTACATACTTACCGCAAACATCGTGTTATTTTCCCTTTCAGTGTGAATAATTATCGGATTAGATACTTCAAAATGTATTTATAATTTCTTTCTTGAGTAGTATATCTATAATACAGCTATTTAATACAAGTCGATGATGCGTGAGCACATATCACGATAATTTAAAGTAGCCATAATAAGTCAAGATATTCAAACAACAGGTTTCTAAACTTGTACGTGTGCAAAGAACCAGCAACTTAATCAGACTGATAAACAGCACTTTAGCGGATTTCATAATGATGAGTACATTGTCTCTGTTATTCAGTTAAAAGGCATGAAACTTAATGCTTGTGTTTATACTAGTTGTTTCCATAGGTACCTTGACATCGTGTTCGTGTTGCATATCTTGATGGTCCAACTAAATTATATTAGCTGGGACGTTTTTTATTGTAGATCCTACCATGCCAAACATTGTGGAGCGGTGGCTTGATGGTTAAGATGTTCGGCTCTTAATTACGATTTCTGTGATTTGAACTTCGCTCTACATACTTTGATATGGGCATCCGGGTAAGATTGTTAGCCTTCATGCATAGAATGTGGCTCATATCCAAGCACCTGATGAATGAGTTAGCCCAAATAATTAGGCAGGTCGATTAAAAACAGCGACTTCATGTTCAAGGGCTGAGGTAGTGCTAAGGAATATACATAAGCGTGATGGCAGTAAGGTGTTTCCCTAAACAACGCAATGCTATGACTAGGCTCGAACAACCGTCTATTCTTAGCAAACAACATCTTTAAGCATAAAGAAGAGAATCGTTTAACGGGTGGCCTGTTAATTCGACCTAATTTTGAACGCAAATACATCATGTCGCTATCAGCCATACAGTCGATATGGTCCGGCAACTTGAATTGATATATATTCAAAGTTGTTTGTGAAAAACTTGATGCAGAACGCTAACAAGAATGAGACGAGTAAAACGGTGTACAACTTTTAAATTTGATAATCAGCTATAGATTCGAAGATTTATACAAGTTTGAAGGCTTAATGCAAATTTACTTACCACGTCATGACGTTAAAAATTCACAGTCGACAAGAGTAACTAGATGTATAAGTAAAGCAATTTTATTGTTGTACTGGCTGTTTCTTGTCGCCATTTGTTTAATTATCGCTGTTATTTCAGGATAGATTTTATAAACTTAGTACTAACAGCCAAACATAAAAGTAAATAAAACCAAGCTATCGTTGTCTTGAACTTCAGTTACATGTATTATCATTTATTGTATTTACATAGGATTAAATTAAAACAGACCTTGTAGTGGCAAAACAATAGCAAGTGAAGTGGCTAACTCAGTTTTTAACAACCTGTTTGAGCCTTTTGTGTTTTTCATTAGCAAGGGGTTGCTAGCTTGTATTCTAAAGTGTGGCATGGTGGAAATGTGGACTAAATTACTAGTTTTCTAACGAATATTTGAATTACCTAGTCACAATTAGATGACCGTTATGGAATAATACTGTATGATTATAATCATAAAGTCATCAGTGTATACTTAGGTGGATTGTGAACGAACACACTGATACGAAATTTTAAAGAAACAGATAGTAAGTAAAGTTATTTCCGCTCAGTAAAATAACATATGCCTGAGTAATCGAAGATTATATTTATGTATAGCATGCTTTATTGGGATCCAGTAATGTCAAAAGATCATTGACATTGAAATGAATCTCGCTTTTCGGATATCAGCCAGTTGTAGATATGCTTGTGTTGACCATGTAGGTACTACAATTCTCTTGACTAAGAGACAAGTCGGTAGCATTTCCAAACTTGCACTGCCACATGGCTACAACATATTACTGTAGGATTAACCCCACTATCACCAATGCCTATTAATTTTTTACAGAATTTATCTTCCGTTTTACCTTTTTTCCTGCAGTGGTAATACTTACGTCGACACTCTACATGCTGACAGTCTATACATAAATTGCTGTAATTTATATTCTCTTGATCCTAATCTTAAGGTAAGATGAAGTAATTCTTGATTACAACTACTACTAGAAATATCATATTTCTACAAACTATAATTTGTAAGTCTTTTAGCATATTGCTTTCCCGAGTTCCACAAATTACTTTTTGTCTATCCACGTCTCTACGTATATTTAACCAACAATGCTTTTGAGATTTAATGTTTTCTTTGAGCTGGATGATTTCATTAAGAAGCTTTAAATGTTTTCTGGACCATATGTTAAGCGCATACTTAAAAATCAAACCATATATCTAAGAGGAACCATTCCAACAAAAACATGCACCTGTACTGAAGTTTTAAAAGCTTTAACAGTCAAGATACGATCCACGCTATATTATAAATCATCGGATTTTAGACACTTGGATAAAAATGTTGCCTACCAAGATGTTTATGTATTGGTGATTGCGACGAAACTCCGCTTGCAGCTACTCCCGATCTCAACACCAAGGAAAGCTTAGCACACCCACTCCGTAAAATAGAACCGCACTGAAAAAACGTCAACCAGAAAAATAAGCTAAATAAATTAAGGTCTTTCCTAGTAGTCTAACGGTCTTCAGATGGCAGAGTTGGCTTTTCATCGCGAAAGCCAGGATGGTCATTCAAAGTCAGAAGATACAACCTAGCCGTGCTTGAAATAAGTAGAACCCGCTGGACACAATGACGCTCTCCGAAGAAACACGCAAACACTCATAGAACGCAAAACCCATAAGTCCAGAACCATCAAAGCATCTCTTAAAGAAAAGAATTTAAAATAATGTCATCCAGTGCTACCCACCCTCAAATGATAACAGTAAATATGTTGGATGCCAACCCAGAGAAATGCCCACGGAAACATCTAACGACCATGACAAAGGGAGCTAAAAATCAAGATCAGGATTGACAAAATCGGGTACGGACGCAGATAACGACTCAGATAAATGAATAAACATAATGCGAGACTAGTAAGCTGTGTTTCCAAAAACATGGTTATGAGTGGCAGCATTTTCTCCCATATGTGCAGTAATAAAGTTACATGGGTTCCACCGAACCACGCTACGGAGAGCCACATCGACTACGTTTAGATCAATAAAAAATTCAGGTCCATTGAAGGCGTTAGATCAAATGGAAGAAGTGATATAGCTTCAGATCGCTACCTGGTGAAGACCAAGCTAAAACTAAAGTATTGAACGATTCGGCAAGCGTGAATACAATGGTTTAATACAGTTTTCCTTCGACATACTAACGGGTTAAATGAGCTTAAGATAGATAAGAGCAATAACGTACCAAATCTACTGTAAGAAGAGACCATTATTGCAAGCAACTCAGAAGAGAAGGAAGTAATAACTCCGACAGCACTAAAGTCAGATTCAGAAGCAATATGTTCTGTTTCTCACCAATATACGGAAAAAATGATCTTAGTGCATGTGGGACCTGCATAGAGATTACGCTGATGCCAGTACCAGGTAATATTCTCGAGTTCCTAAGCCGAATCCGGAGCCTGACAATCCTTGTTGAACAAACAATTGGATGTAACTCATCACTTATACATGAGTTTCCTTAATTATGGAACAGCATTCGACAATCCTGCATAGGAAAAACTTGTGGGATTATCTACGACACTATGGAATACCTGAGAAGATCGTTACCGACATACAGAATTATTAAGATAGACTGCAATGCAGATACATTCCAAATAAAGCCTAACTTTTGACGGGTGCATGTTGACGAGTTTTCTCTTCTGTTTGTTGACTAGATGGAGTATAATGGACACAGCTAGATAATTCGTACATTAAAAATGAGTTAACCTCCCTATTGTATGTGCAACAACTAATGCACACGAATACAGCCACTATAGCGGTGGTTTCAGCAGAATTACGCGGCAGTGTTTACAAACGAAAAGCGAAATTCAGAAGTATAAGGTAGACAGCACCAACCAAATCACACTTGACGGGGAAGTTGTGAAATAGGTGCAAGTCTTCATGTATCTGGGTAGCATCATTAGTAATCAAGGAGGATCTGATCCAGATGTGAAGTAACAAGCTAAAGAGTAGAAGGCCTGAGTCGATAAGTAATCAGAACAGAGAACTTGTGAATTCTTTCGCGCCTTCAATCTGTCCGAGGTAATTTTGTGAGCACGAACACGGAACAAGATAATTGGGAGTCCCAGAAGTGTTGATTCCTGTAAGGATATTGGAAAATGACATAGTTTCGCAAAATGGATTTTGCTTCAGAAGTCGGAGACTCGTGATTCAATAGAATTTTGCGTTCAAAAAAATAATTCGTGAAAATACTTTTTCAGGCTTTTTAAATGACACAAGTAGACTATTATAAATAACAAATGTATTCTGAAGATGAATATTTTCAGATTTTATGTTTGTATTACAGATTCCAGATGTCCTGCTGAAATGTATTCTAACACAAATCAAAGAAAGCTGGCTAGCTGAGAATAGTTTAAAATTGTTACACTATCTTTTGATGAATTTAAACAAAGAAATTCTCATTAGTGAAAAACTGCAAAGTAAGATGTCTGTCTCTTTGTAATGCAACAATTATCATTATAATTTGATAGGATGAATTTTTCTATATGTAAATATAGTAATTTTCATTCCAGGATTATTTTTACAAAATTTCAAAAAGTCGCAGTGCTTCATGGGTGTCACAGTTCTTACTGAGATTTTAAATCTTTATCAATTGCAAATAACCGTGCTTACTTCACACTTTTGTTCCAGTAGTTTTGGTCAATATGAAGTAATAAAGTATTCAAGTGTTTATTGACACTGAGTAATATTCAGTCGAAATTATCAATAACTGACCTATTTTTTTAAATCAATCATTTGAACAAAAATTTACAACTTTTTTTCAGACTACGACGTGACGTTTAAGGCTAAAGAGCTAAAACATTTACTTCCTTGTGTTACAAATTTGAAAGAATTATCGGAAGAAATAAAACAGCGCATGTCAGTATGCAATGAATTACTGTCCGACTGGTAAGTGACAAGATAAGATCTACTTTATTTTTTCACACTTACAGGAGAGAAATACCGATTCGTCGAATGTTGCTATAAACAAGTTCCCTATTGCACAGTTTTGTTGATAGAATGTGATTGTAACATATGAACGTTTTTCGATGTAAATATAATATTGTTTTCTGTGTTACCTTTAGTGACGATATACAGCACACATCAATAATACCTAAATATTTAGATGAACTCGTTGTCATAGTTCCAGACAAAAGCCTGAAAAAGTATTTTCACGAATTATTTTTTTGAACGCAAAATTCTATTGAATCACGAGTCTCCGACTTCTGAAGCAAAATCCATTTTGCGAAACTATGTCATTTTCCAATATCCTTACAGGAATCAACACTTCTGGGACTCCCAATTATCTTGTTCCGTGTTCGTGCTCACAAAATTACCTCGGACAGATTGAAGGCGCGAAAGAATTCACAAGTTCTCTGTTCTGATTACTTATCGACTCAGGCCTTCTACTCTTTAGCTTGTTACTTCACATCTGGATCAGATCCTCCTTGATTACTAATGATGCTACCCAGATACATGAAGACTTGCACCTATTTCACAACTTCCCCGTCAAGTGTGATTTGGTTGGTGCTGTCTACCTTATACTTCTGAATTTCGCTTTCCGTTTGTAAACACTGCCGCGTAATTCTGCTGAAACCACCGCTATAGTGGCTGTATTCGTGTGCATTAGTTGTTGCACATACAATAGGGAGGTTAACTCATTTTTAATGTACGAATCATCCAGTTTAGTGTTCATGCCCTTAAAATTACCTCAGATTGATGGCATGGAGGACTGCACAATTAAACCATTTCCAATGACCAATTCATAAAAATATTGTTAGATAGCATGTATATTTTTGGGTCTAAAACATGTATCATAGAGTATAGCATATTTTGATGTTTGAAGTTTATCAATCTCAATCCATAGCGTACAGAGACTGCATATTGATCACCTCGTCATGCGGGTGAAGAGAGCTGTTGTTCCGAAAATGGTCAGTCAGTCGTACATGTTTAAATGTAGGTCGAACGAGATATCAACTATAAAACTCATAATTAGTGAGATCGTGGGATTATCGTAAAGTAGGATGCTCACGGGAATGCGAGTATCTATGATATTCAGATGCCCATTTCACATAATTCAACTAAGTTGGCTTCGCAGAATGATTCCAAGGTTCATTGATATAACTAATTAAAACCTATCACTTTATAAATATTTTGGTTCATACCCATAAACATGAACTTCAAGAAGGCCCATACTGTTAGTTCGCTGACATATATGGGTCAATAAGTGGGTCGCGAATACCATATAGGACTGATATCTAATAATAAGTGAGAAAACACAATTCGTCCAAGCCTCACTGTCGCAGAACCCTATGCGAATTATTAAGCAGGCCAACTAGATTTTCAGCTTCGTTGTTCAAAATAGATATATGGGACATGACTGGAGTAATAGGGAAGAAAATTGTTACTAAATTCGAGAATTTACAGTATTTGTTGAAAGTAAACTATACACTGAACGTTTGGATAAGTGCGCTTCGGTTGGTCAAATAGACGAAGCGATCAAATTTTAAACCCTTGTGTGCTTAGTCCCCCACCTAACTTGATCATCGCACTTTTTAATATGCGCCCATCAACCTGATCCGAAGAAAAGTATTTGTGGGTGCTAATGACATTATAGTCGACGTATAAATAGTGTCCCTTTGTCGATATTCCTGTATAAAAGACAGTTTTCTAAGCACAGAAATAATGGATACAGTTTTTAAACATTCGAATCATGTATGATTTCGATAGTTCGATTACTTATCATTGTTTAACTTGGTATATGCATGTTTTCCACGAGAATGCAGACGTCCACGTATAATTTCTAGATGTTGCAGTAAATAGTTTTGAGGTTTTGGTTCCATGGCTATAGCCTCTAAAAGGCATGATTCCGATTTTTCTAGATCATCTTCATCTGCCAAAGCAACACAAAGGTTATGTTTTGCCTGAATGTTCTTTGGGTCCAATTTTAGCGCTTCTTCAAAATACTAAGTAGGAAAAAGGCAAGTATATGTTGACATATGTTCAAGATGAAGTAGCATTAACAAATTCATAGATTTACAGTTAAAGGCTTACTTGCTTTGCTAATTTTATGTTCGCTTTTTCAGTTAATTCTATATCTCCGAGAAGTAAATAAGACTTTATATGTGAAGGATGAACCTGTAAAAGAAAAAGTCACACATATGAGAGAAATAACAAATTTTTGTCACAAAGTACATCAATCATTGCTCTTTAGATATGATCACACAGATAACCAAAATGAACAATGACAAAAGAGGTTTATCAGTTTTCATCTTTCGTTTAATTCTGTTGATGTGGTTTAAGCATTTAACTCTCAGCTGTAGTACGAAGCACTAAACAATTTTTTCAGCCATTTAACAAGCAGAATAACAAAAATTAATCAGAATTAAACTAATTAGGACTAAAATATTTATTCAATCACTCCAATAATTCACATTGACTGAATTAATAAAACAGTAATCTCTGTCAATGGTTTTCGGTGCATAAAACTAATAAATATAAATCTAAATTTACCTTGATAAGATGAAGTGCGAGATTCCTTGCATCATCTGGTTTTCCAAGATGATTCCGATAAAGTAGAGCTAGGTTAAATAATGAACCTTTATGATCAGAATCCAGCTTAAAAACGACAAAATAAAAAATATCAGGTAAAAACATATCCGGATGAGAAACACGTATGTAATCTAAAACGGACAAAATGTTATAATCATTATGATTACAAATCAGTAGATTAATGATTGAAAAAACGAGTAGACATAATGCGGCTTGCACTTATGCGGACAAATATAGGTAGTATGTAGCACGAACTAGAATGCTTACCAGAAAGAGTGAAATAAGAAGAGGAAAGGAAACAGACAGAAATAAGAATGAGAACAACACGATCGCAAGAATGATGAAGTATGTAAATGATAACTGAGGGAAGATATACAAACGATGTATTTAATACGAATTTTACAATGCCACTATGTGATTTGGCATAAAAAAAGTAAATTGGTTTTCCCCATCAAGCCTTCGTTCACTACAATAAAATAGACGAGTTAAGTGCTTTTGGAACAACTCAAACAATAATTACTTCTTTGCAAATGCTACTGACATTATCATCAGCATAGGTCAACCAGCACCTGTTCAGTTTTGTATGTTTTTGTACATAATCCGTAAAGTGGTATCTGCATCTAGTCATATGTAGTCTCTTATAATCTTAAGACCTGCTGAAGTGTCTAATTTCAAATAAAGGTTACACGAATTCTTTGTACGAAAATGAGTACGAGTCGCTAGCAAAATTATAACTATCTTGGTTTTCGACGATATAATTCATGTTATGTTAACAGCATATATGACACAATGCTCGAAACTAGAATAGTAACAAAGAAATAGGGTTAATCAAAGTACATTTGGGACAAAAAGTCTTCTTTAGAAAGGCGAATACCTGAACCCTACACGGAAACACTGAACTTAATAAGAGATGATATATCCGTATATAGAATCTAATTACATTGCATGCATCATTGGGCAACGTTGGTATTACTTTTGAAGATCAGAACGTTCATTATAAACTAATGACATGATGAAAAAATCCAAAACGGGCTACAGTACAATAATTCAACTATAAAGAATGATGTAGTAAGAGGTCGGTAGATGCACATGAAGAGCTAAGGTGGTAGTCTAACCTTGATTGGTCCACGATTCGATTGAAACTAAACAATCTCCACAACGCTTTACTGACAAGTAACGTGCTCACTGGGGAAATTTCAGGAATTCTAGTGAGAAGCCATGACCAGTGTAGTTCAATCGTATCTGGTGTGAGGCAGTTCCCCGCCGTAGACGATAAAAGATGGTCGAGCAATATATTGTGGACTGATTGAAGTTAGTCACTAAAACCGTTAGATTCCCGCCCAGTGGTTTATATGTCAAGTGTTTGCGCGCAGGACCGAAGGTCCTGGGTCCGACTCCCACGTGCAGAGTTGTAGTTAGCGCAGAGCTGAAGAGTCCCACGCTAGGACGAAGCCATTATCCAGTGCTTCCAGGCTTTCGATGGTGGTCTAACATTGATCGTTTTATGATTTAAATAAGATGGTTAATAGTGTAGTATCGGGATATACGGTAAGTGCATAAGATTTTTTCGTTGAGAAAGTAAAATTCTGTGTCTCTTAAATTGCTCTGAAGTAATAATCATACCTGTTTAAATAAATCACTTACAATAATAACATTCTGATAATGTTTAGATGCTTTGATATAGTTCTTTTTATCAGTTTGTAACATACCCAAAGCGAAATGTACTTTGATCGGTTCAAAATTTTGTTTGAGAAGATGTTCATAGCTATAAATAAAAAACAGCAGTAAATACAAACTCGATGAGTTTTTGGACAATAAGGCCAATAGATTTGATGCTCATTTAAAATTAAATAATTAGTACAGAGACTTATAGAGAGTTAATATAGTGAAAAATCTCTTTAGTGATCAGTAAGTGGACTTGATAATCTGCTGCTCATCTCAAATTTTAGTACATGGTCTACCAAATCCAAAACAGTATGACTTTCAGGGTGTCCATCGGTTTTCGCATTTGAATTAATTAAATTCAGACATCTATGTGTTTAAAGATAAATCAACACTTTGTTCTAACAAACATCAATGAAAAATCCCTAACATTCTGATTCTTTTTTATTTCTTAAGAGGAAAATGATTTCTGTAAAAGAATCAAATTATCAAAAATTTGTTTAACTTGCATGTTTATTGCTCTTAGCTGGTCATCAGGATTAGCTGATTCACCAAGAGTTGATGCAACAGCAAACAGGGAAGGCTGAATATGATCAAAGAAATCGATATAGTCAGTGAGAACTCACTTTAATAGTTATTACTGTTAATTTTTTCTCTAAAAAAAGTTATTGTAGTGAAATATTTACATGTTCACGTGGCTTTACATTCACTATAGATTATGTTCTATTAACTTATCGGATCATATTTTTTTCCTAGTGGATTTAGAGTTTCGC